CGCATTCCACCTAGGGCAGTGTCTGTCTCACTTTTGTGATCCAGCAAGAAATATACAGCCAGGTGCAGTGGCTCATACTGCAATCCCAGTACTTTGGGAGGCCAAAGTGGGTGAATTGATTGAGCCCAGATGTTGAAGACCAGCCTGGGCAACATAGTGAGACTCCATCTCTACAAAAATCTTAGAAAAAAATTAGCCAGGCATGGCGGTGTGGGCCTGTAGTCCCAGGTATTCAGGAGGCTGAGGAGGGGGGATTACTTGAGCCCAGGAGTTGGAGGCTGCAGTGAGCCATGATCATGCCATGCACTCCAGCCTGGGTGATAGAGTGAGACCCTATCTCTAAAATAAATAAATAATTATACTTATCTCATGACTCAGGGTTCACATGCATACATGCACACATACACTAACACAGAAGTTTTTATAAAACAATGATTCCAGGCCAGGTGTGGTGGCTCATACCTGTAATCCCAGAACTTTGGGAGGCTAAAGTGGGTGGATCACAAGGTCAGGAGTTCAAGACCAGTCTGGCCAACATAGTGAAACCTTGTCTCTACTAAAAATACAAAAAAATTAGCCAGGTGTGGTGGTGTGCACCTGTAATCCCAGCTACTCAGGAGGCTGAGGCAGGAGAATCGTGTGAACCTGAGAGGAGGAGATTGCAGCGAACCAAGATCGAACCACTGCACTTTAGCCCAGGCAACAGTGCGAGACTCCAACTCAAAAACAAAACAAACTTCCCTTGACCTTGTGTTGCATTGTGATATTTTCCATTCATTCTATTCTATTCCACCAAAGAAATGCTGGCTGTGACCCATTACATTAATTTCACAGTTTTCTAGTCACTAGCCATCCAGGAGGAAGGTGAAATATTTAAGGAAAAGGAGGTTGGGGTTGAGCACGGTGGCTCACGCCTGTAATCCCAACAGTTTGGGAGGCCAAGTGGAAGGATTGCTTGAGGCCAGGAGTTCAAGACCAACCTGACCAACATAGTGAGATCCTCTCGCTATCATAAAAACAAAAAGGAAAAAAGAGTGCAGGTAATCAGTAGGATTGATAGATAATGCAACAAAGGATAACAGAGGGAACCCAGAAACATGGCTTAAGAACAGAGAAGTTGGCCAAGCTTTGCAGCTCATGCCTGTAATCCCCGCACTTTGGGAGGCTGAGCGGGCAGATCACGAGGTCAGGAGTTTGAGACCAGTCTGGCCAACATGGTGAAACCCCGTTTCTACTAAAAATACAAAAATGAGCCTGGTGTAGTGGTGGGCGCCTGCAATCCCAGCTACTGGGGAGGCTGGCAGGAGAATCGCTTGAACCTGGAGGTGGAGGTTGCAGTGAGCTGAGATCACACCACTACACTCCAGCCTGGGCAAAAGAGCAAAACTCTGTCTCAAAAAAAAAAAAAAAAGAAGTTTCGTTTGACCGGTTCTGACATGAACGCAATTTTCACTCAAATATACATAATTTGAGATGCTCTGACTTCATCCATCATTCAGTCAACAACTCACTACATTCACTAGGCTCTGGGTGCCACTCTGTGCTGGGCAGTGATGGGGATAGGGTGTGACCGTGACAGTCCCAGGTCCTACTCTCAAGGAGCTCTCAGTCCAGCGGGGGAGACAGGAAAAGGCGGTGACAACAGAGTAGTCAGGCCTGGGATGGGGAAGCAGAGAAGCTTGAGAGGGTGGAGGAGGAGCCTGCTCCAGCCTTGGAGTGTCAGGGAGGGCTGCCTGGAGAGGGGCCGCGTGACCCGGTACCTGACGAAGTCACTCCAAGGACAGGTTAGGTAGCCCGCACCATGAAGTCACTCCAGGACAGGGTAAGATAACCCACACCATCCTCTCTTGGGCGCCCCTTGGCTTATAACCAATCCTGGATGCTCCCCTTCTCCTGGCTCAGGCTACCAGCCCTGCGACCCGCAGGTTATCTGCAACCGCGTGAACCACGTGCACGGCTGCCTGGCGGAGCTGCAGGAGCAGGCAGCGCGGCGGCGCGCAGAGCTGGAGGCCTCGCGGAGCCTGTGGGCGCTGCTGCAGGAGCTGGAGGAGGCCGAGAGCTGGGCGCGCGACAAGGAGCGCCTGTTGGAGGCTGCGGGCGGCGGCGGTGCGGCGGGCGCGGCGGGCGGCGCGCATGACCTGTCTAGCACCGCGCGCCTCCTGGCCCAGCACAAGATCCTGCAGGGCGAGCTGGGCGGACGGCGGGCGTTGCTGCAGCAGGCCCTGCGGTGCGGCGAGGAGCTGGCTGCGGCCGGCGGCGCCGTCGGCCCGGGCGCGGAGACGATGCAACTCGTGGGCCTGGCTGAGCGCGCGGCGAGCGCCCGGCGCCGCTGGCAGCGGCTGGAAGAGGCGGCGGCGCGGCGCGAGCGGCGGCTGCAGGAGGCGCGGGCGCTGCACCAGTTCGGCGCTGACCTCGACGGGCTCCTGGACTGGCTTCGCGACGCTTACCGCCTGGCAGCCGCCGGTGACTTCGGCCATGACGAAGCGTCCAGCCGCCGCCTGGCGCGCCAGCACCGCGCGCTCACTGGGGAGGTGGAGGCGCATCGCGGGCCCGTGAGCGGCCTGCGACGCCAGCTGGCGTCTCTCGGGGGCGCCAGTGGCGCAGGGCCACTGGTGGTGGCGCTGCAGGTGCGCGTGGTGGAGGCCGAGCAGTTGTTCGCGGAGGTGACCGAAGTGGCCGCGCTGCGGCGCCAGTGGCTGCGGGACGCGCTAGCTGTCTACCGCATGTTCGGCGAGGTGCACGCATGCGAGCTGTGGATCGGCGAGAAGGAGCAATGGCTGCTCTCCATGCGCGTGCCCGATTCACTTGACGACGTCGAGGTGGTGCAGCACCGGTGAGTGCGCACATGTGGGACTCCAGAGTCCCCTCCTCATGCACCCAGTCTCACCTTCATTAGCTCAACAGTTCCCATGTTCGTTCAGCTGGAACTAGGGGTTCCAATCCCTGCTTCATCTGTAACCAGCTTTGTGACAGTTCTGCAACCTGCCTAACCTTCCTGAACCTCAGTTTGACCACCCGTAAAATGGGGGTAATATTAGTCCCTACCCAGGTTTGTGGTGAACGGTAAATGAGTTCATACATGCAGAACACTAAGCGAATGCCTGGGGCTAGAGGAAGCATTCCCCCAGCGTTTGCTCTTATTATATTACCCAGGTTTACATTTGTCAAGCATGAAATAAACGACCTAAGCTTCTACAGGGACACCTCAGTCTGGCCGCTCCATTGGAAGGCCTCCCACTGCCCCTGCACAAATGTCACCTCCCTAGCTATTAAAATAGCTCTGACCCTTGCCACTTTGTATTCCTTCATCCTGTTTTACATTTCTTTGTAGCACTTACCACCCCGTGACATATTATACAGTGATTTGTCTGCTGGCTGACTCTGACAAAGAGTTGCTCAATGAGTGGGTGAACAATGTGTGTTCCCCCTCCGCACCACTCTCTCCGAGCATCTTGTTCATCCGTTCATTCATTCGGCAGGTGTTTACTGAGTGCCTATGCCATCTTAGGTCTCGTGTTGGACACTGCTGGAAACACAGGGCTGATCCTTGTCCCTACTGTGCCCACAGTTGCCCAGTTCTTTGAAACATTGATTTAAAGATGGGAGGACCATGTCCAGCTTAAAATAGACCTCAGTGGCTACCATGTGGAGGGTGGGTTGGAGTGGGTGAGAGTGGTGGCTGGGAACCCAGAGAGGCAACCAGGGAGGGGACCCAGATGGAGCTGAACAGGATTAGACCAGGGCGGGAGGTAAGTGGACAGGCCATGGAGGCTGATGGGCCAGGGTGATTTTCCAAAACAAGGCTCAGGGCTCTGGCCTGGGGGATGACAGTGCTGTTTCCAACATGGGGGCCCAGAGGAAGAACAAATCTGAGTTAGGTGGGTGTGAATAGCCCCAAGAAGGTATACACCAGGCTTGGAGGTTGGAGACAGGTTCAAAAGGTAAGAGGTTGAGGCTGCATACTGAGATGTGACTGTCATGAGTTAAGGGGAGAAGACCAAGGCTGTGGGGTTGGGTGGAATCGCTGAAGAAGGGTGTGAGGGAAAGCCCAGAGGACTCGAGGTGGAGTTGCTGCTGAGGAATCTCACATTTAAACGTCAGGTAGAGGCCGGGCACAGTGGCTCATGCCTGTAATCCCAGCACTTTGGGAGGCTGAGGCAGGTGGTCACATAAGGTTAGGAGTTTGAGACCAGCCTGGCCAGCATGGTGAAATCCCGTCTTTACTAAAGTAGAAAAATTAGCCGGGTATGGTGGTGCATGCCTGTAAATCCCAGAAGGCTGAGACACGAGAATTGCTTGAACCTGGGAGGCAGACTTTGCAGTGAGCTGAGATCACACCACTGCACTCCAGCCTGGGCGACAGAGACTCTGCCTCAATAAATAAATTAAATTAAATTAAAGGCAGCTGAAAACTGAGGGTGGAGAGTTAGGAGTAGAACCAGTAAAAGGCATTTCATAAAACCAAGGTCCAGCCGGGTGCGGTGGCTCATGACTGTAATCCCAGCACTTTGGAAGGCTGAGGCAGGTGGATCACATAAGGTCATGAGTTCAAGACCAGCATGGCCAGCATGGTGAAATCCCATCTCTACTAAACATAGAAAAATTAGCCGGGCGTGGTGGTACACGTCTGTAGTCCCAGCTACTTGGAAGGCTGAGACACAAGAATCGCTTGAACCTGGGAGGCGGATATTGCAGTGAGCTGAGATCATGTCACTGCAGTCCAGCCTGGGCAACAGAGTGAGACTCTGTCTCAATAAATCAAATTAAATTAAATTAAATTAACAGTGGGTAGCAGAGGAGGAGCCCACAAAGGCGGCTGAAAAGTGAGGGTGGAGAGTTAGGAGTAGAACCGATAGAAGGCATTTCATGAAACCAAGGTCTGCAGGATTCGGGTGTCTGAGCATCTCCATCCTCCTTCTGCAGATTCGAGAGCCTGGACCAAGAGATGAACAGCCTGATGGGCCGAGTTCTGGATGTGAACCAAACAGTCCAGGAGCTGGTGGAAGGAGGCCACCCCAGTTCTGATGAGGTGCGTTCCTGCCAGGACCACCTCAATAGCAGGTAGGAGGGCCTGGGGCTGGGGGTCCCTCCCATCCTCCCCTTCCACACTCACACAACCACAGACAGCAAAGACGTGCAATCTCAAACTCCTGGCATCATAATGGCCACCTGATAAATCAACAACATGTTGACCAAAAATCATAATACCTAATGCTGGTGATGATGTGGTGAAAAAATAGACATTTCAGTTGGCTGTTCATTTATTTGTCCAGGAAGGATTTATTGAATATCTACAATCTGCCAGGAGGATTCCCAAGCACTTTATATACCTTTTAAAAGTATCCCAATATTCTTCTGGGCACAGTGTCCCATACCTGTAATCCCAGCACTTTGGGAGGCTGAGATTCGTAGATCACTTGAGCTCCCACATTCAAGACCAGCCTGGGCAACATGGTGAAACCCCATCTCTCTCTACAAAAAAAAAAAAAATACAAAATTTAGCCAAGCATGGTGGTGCACACTTGTAGTCCCAGCTACTTGGGAGGCTGAGATGGGAAGATGCCGTGAGCCCGGGAGGTGGAGATTGCAGTGAGCAGAGATTGCGCCACTGCACTCCAGCCTGGGCAATAGAGCCAAACCTTGTCTCAAAACAAAACAACAACAACAAAACCCAATATCCCAATTTCCATAGTAAAGGTCCTAGAATTCAGCTCTGTCTCTCTCTCTCTGTCTTTTTGAGACAGGATCTTGCTCTGTTTCCCAGGCTGGAATACAGTGGCATGATCATGGCTCATTGCAGCCTCCAACACCTAGGCTCAAGCGATCCTCCCTCCTCTGCCTCCTGAGTAACTGGGACTACAGGCACACACCACCATGCCCAGCTAATTAATTTTTTTTTTGTACAGACAGGATCTCACTATGCTGGCCATGCTGGTCTTAAGAGCTCCTGGGCTCGGCTGGCCATGGCAGCTCCTGCCTGTAATCCCAGCACTTTGGGAGGCTGAGGCAGGTGGATCACCTGAGGTCAGTAGTTCAAAACCAGCCTGACCAATATGGAATAGAAACCCCGTCTCTACTAAAAATACGATAGTTATCCAGGCATGGTGGCATGTGCCTGTAGTCCTAGCTACTCAGGAGACTGGGACAGGAGAAATACTTGAACCTGGGAGGCAGAGGCTGCAGTGAGCCACGATCACACCACTGCACTCCAGCCTGGGTGACAGAGAGAGATTCCGTGTCAAAACAAATACAAAAACAACTCCTGGCCTCAAGTGATCCTCCTACCTCGGCCTTCCAAAGAGCTGAGATTACAGTGTGAGCTACTGCTCCTGGCCTAGAACTCTTTAAGAATAGTAACAAACTAATCTCAGTACCTCTGGAATGCTACCAGCAATTCTCCCGGTGTGAGTACGTTCATAGATGAAGACGCAGCTCCAAAGACATGAACTCCTTATCCAAGATTACTCAGTCTATAAGTAGGAGTCAAATGCAGTTCTGGCTGAATGCTGAGCTGGGGCTGTTTATCGAATATATCCAGTCTTCCTGCTAAAACTATGGGGTGGAAACGACCCCACATTAGAGAGGAGAAACTGGATGCACAGCTAATGTTTTGTTTTTTGTTTTTTTTTTTTTGAGACGGAGTTTCGCTCTTGTTGCCCAAGCTGGAGTGCAATGGCGTGATCTCGGCTCACCGCAACCTCCGTCTTCCCGGTTCAAGCAATTCTCCTGCCTCAGCCTCCCAAGTAGCTGGGATTACAGGCATGTGCCACTATGCCTGGCTAATTTTGTATTTTTAGCAGAGACGGGGTTTCTCTATGTTGGTCTGGCTAGTCTCGAACTCCTGACCTCAGATGATCAGACTGCCTCGCCTCCCGAAGTGCTGGGATTACAGGCATGAGCCGCTGCGCCCAGCCTAATTTTTGTATTTTAGGGGTCTCAGCATGTTGCCCAGGCTGCTCTCCAACTCCTGAGCTCAAGCGATCCACCTGCTTCTGCCTTCCAAAGTGCTGAAGTTACAGGTGTGACCCACTGCACCTGGCTAAGAAATTTTAAAACATTAAGTTATTTAAATATAATAATAAGCTGGGAGTGGGGCGTGCCTGTAGTCCCAGCTACTCAGGAGGCTGATGTGGGAGGACCGCTTGAGCCTGGGAATTGGAGGCTTCAGTGTGCCATAAACGAATTTGTGAATAGTCATTGCATTCTAGCCTGGGCAACATAGTGAGATCTCATGACTTAAAATTTTTAAAAAATCTAAATATCTAATGTGTTAATATAACTAACATTTTTATAAAAAGTAACTTTTCAGGCCAGGCGGGGTTGCTCACGCCTGTAAATTCAGCACTTTGGGAGGCTGAGGCGGGCAGATTACCCGAGGTCAGGAGATCAAAACCATCCTGGCCAACATGGTGAAACCTCATCTCTACTAAAATACAAAAAAATTAGCCAGGTGTGGTGGCAGGTGCCTGTAATCCCAGCTACTCAGGAGGCTGAGGCAGCGGAATCGCTTGAACCCTGGAGGCAGAGGTTGTAGTGAGCCGAGATTGCGGCACTGCTCTCCAGCCTGGGTGACAGAGCGAGACTCAGTCTCAAAAAACAAACAAAGGTCAGGCGCGGTGGCTCAAGCCTGTAATCCCAGCACTTTGGGAGGCCGAGGCGGGTGGATCACGGGTCAAGAGATCGAGACCATCCTGGTCAACATGGTGAAACCCCGTCTCTACTAAAACTACAAAAAATTAGCTGGGCATGGTGGTGCGTGCCTGTAATCCCAGCTACTCAGGAGGCTGAGGCAGGAGAATTGCCTGAACCCAGGAGGCGGAGGTTGTGGTGAGCCGAGATCGCGCCATTGCACTCCAGCCTGGGTATCATGAGTGAAACTCCGTCTCAAAAAAAAAAAAAAAAAAACACAAAAAAACTTTTCAAAGCAAAAAATATAGTACTAAGAGTGGCATTGTTTCGTCGCTTTGCAAATCTCTTTAATGTCTGCTTTAAGAGAACGCAGCTGGGCTTCTCTTAAGCCAGAGTCAGCTTCTGCATTCAGTCTCTCCTGCCGCCTCTGGAAAACTCCACTGAACACTAGGGAAAGAATGAGAGTGAAAAAGCAAATAACATCTTAACACATTTTTATAAAGATAGTTTTGTCCTCGATCAGATTACATGTTGAGAACTGCTGTTCTAAGCAAAAATGCTGGATAGGGTTCCATCATACACCAGCAGAAAGTGGGGCGACTTTCCGAGGTCACACAGTCGCTGGGTGGCCAGGGCCTGGATTCTACCCTGGGTGGGCGGGACCTCCGCGCCCAAAAGGAGTCTCTGTCCTCTTCAAGTCACTCTCTTTCTCGTGGGCAGGTGGAACCGCATCGTGGAGCTAGTGGAACAGCGCAAAGAGGAAATGAGCGCGGTCCTGCTGGTGGAGAACCATGTGCTGGAAGTGGCCGAGGTGCGAACCCAGGTGCGTGAGAAGCGGCGAGCTGTGGAGAGCGCGCCCCGCGCCTGCGGCGCCCTGCAGTGGCGTCTTAGCGGCCTAGAGGCCGCTCTGCAGGCGCTGGAGCCGCGCCAGGCGGCCCTTCTGGAGGAGGCAGCACTGCTGGCTGCGCGCTTCCCGACGCAGGCGGCGCGGCTGCACCAGGGCGCAGAGGAGCTGGGCGCCGAGTGGGGCGCGCTAGCCAGCGCGGCTCAGGCCTGCGGCGAGGCGGTGGCGGCAGCAGGGCGCCTGCAGCGCTTTCTGCATGACCTCGACGCTTTCCTGGACTGGCTGGTGCGCGCCCAGGAAGCGGCGGGCGGCAGTGAGGGGCCCCTGCCCAACAGCCTAGAAGAGGCGGACGCGCTGCTGGCACGCCACGCTGCGCTCAAGGAAGAGGTGGACCAGCGCGAGGAAGACTATGCTCGCATCGTGGCGGCCAGCGAGGCGCTGCTGGCCTCCGACGGCGCAGAGTTGGGCCCGGGCCTGGCACTAGACGAGTGGCTGCCGCACCTTGAACTTGGCTGGCATAAACTGCTCGGCTTGTGGGAGGCGCGCAGGGAGGCACTGGTCCAGGCGCACATCTACCAGCTGTTTCTGCGGGATCTACGCCAGGCGCTCGCGGTGCTGCGTAACCAGGTGCCCGCTCGGGTTTGCAGCTCGGAGAGGGAGGGTACGGGGCCGTGGAGGATTACAGGGACAGGGACGTGGAGGGGGGAGGAGCGTGTTTGCTGGAACCACTGGGTGTTGAGGTGGGTGGGAGTTGAGAGAGTATTCAGAATGGATATCTGAGTCTGTGAATCATCCAAGTGTGTGTGGAAGTGTGTATGTAACAGAATTTGAGGGTTAGGATTAGTGGGATCGGTTGGTGTCTTATCCGAGGTGACAGTTTGTGGATTATCCGCAGTAAGTAATGTGCGTGGATATTTACTGGAGTGGCTTCCTGGGTTCGTGGATTATCTGGAAGGAAATAAGACTATGAGGCTGATTGGTGATAGTTAAATGGGGTTCAAAGAAGATCTCGGTATGGATAACAAAGGATTAGTTTTATGGAGGCTGAGGGGTTACTGGCATCAGTCAGTGATTGTGGATTACATGGTGGGATGCCTAAATTAGCACATTTTCTTCATTTTGGGGGATGACAACTATGGATTCTCTGGAGAGAGTAACTTTGTGGGGAGAGGAACTAAGTGCAGTGGTTATCGGGACAGCCGATCCAGTTTGGAGATCATTCTGGGATGGGAACCAAGTTTGAGAGATTTGGCAAGAATGCCCAGTTTTCAGATTGTCCAAGAGTAGTTTCCAGTGTCTTTAAAAGGGTGCTTGCCTAGGCTGGTGATCTAGAGGCTGCTGATCCAGTTTGAGGATTATCTAAAGTGGTCCCAAATCTTTTTTTTTTTTTTTTTTTTTTTTTGAGACAGAGTCTTGCTCTGTCACCAGACTGGAGTGCAGTGGCATGATCTCAGCTCACTGCAACCTCTGCCTCCTGGGTGCAATCAGTTTTCCTGCTTTAGCCTCCTAAGTAGTTGGGACTACACCATGCCCAGCTAATCTTTGTATTTTTAGTAGAAATGGGGTTTCACATGTTGGCCAGGATGGTCTTGATCTCTTGACCTTGTGATCTGCCCAGCTCAGCCTTCCAAAGTGCTGGGACACAGGTGTGAGCCACCGCGCCCAGCCTGCGGCCCAGTTTTTAACAGGCCATGGACTGGTACCCCTCTGTGGCTTAGGGCTTGGGAAATCCTGATCTAGGGAGTTGGGGAGAAAGGACAGAGAGCCCCTGAATCATAAGATTACTAAATATGGAGCTGAAGTGGCCTTGAGAGACCCTTCTGACCCACCTATTTAAAAAATAGAGACACAGCCGGGTGCAGCTCATGCCTGTAATCCCAGCACTTCGGGAGGCCTAGGCAGGCAGATTATAAGATCAGGAGATCAAGACCATCCTGACCAACATGGCAAAACCCCATCTCTACTAAAATACAAAATATTAGCCAGGTGTGGTTGTGATGGTGGGCGCCTGTAGTCTCAGCTACTTTGGAGGCTGAGGCAGGAGACTCCCTTGAACCGGAGAGGTGGAAGTTGCAGTGAGCCAAGATTGCACCACTGAACTCCAGCCTGGTGACAGAGTGAGACTTGGTCTTTAACAAATATATAATAAAAATAATGGGCCAGGCACGGTGGCTAACGCCTGTAATCCCAGCACTTTGGGAAGCCAAGGCAGGCAGATCACCTGAGGTCAGGAGTTCAAGACCAGCCTGACCAACATGAAGAAACCCTGCCTCTACTAAAAATACAAATTAGCCGGGTGTAGTGGTGCGTGCCTGTATTCCCAGCTACTCAGGAGGCTGAAGCAAGAGAATCACTTGAATGCAGGAGGTGGAGTGAGCCAAGATGGCACTATTGCACTCTAGCCTGAGCAACAAGAGCAAAACTCTGTCTCAAATAAATAAATAAAAGAGATGGGATCTTGCTATGTTTGCCAGGCTGGTCTCCAACTCCTGGGCTCAAACAATCCTCCTGCTTTGGCCTCCCAAAGCGCTGGGATTACAGGTGTGAGCCACTCTGCCTGGCCCTGACCTACCCATTTCACCAGTTAGAAAAGTAACCCCAGAGAGGAAAGAACTTCCTTGAGTTCACACAGTACCCAGTTTAGTTGTCTTCTTTTTTTGAGACAGGACCTCACTCTGTCACCCGGGCCTGAGTGTGGTGGCACGATCACAGCTCACTGCAGCCGTGACCTATGGGGCTCAAGCAATCCTCCCACCTCAGCCCTCCAAGTAGCTGGGACTACAGACATGTGCCACCAAGCCTGGTTAATTTTATTTTGTATTTTTATTAAAGACAGGGTTTCACCATGTTGCCCAAGCTGGTCTTGAACTCCTGGGTTCAAATGATCTTCCTGCCTCAGCCTCCAAAAGTGCTGGGATTATAGGCATGAGCCACCATGCCCAGCCTTCAGTCTTCATATTAACCAAATGTTTACTGAGTGTCTCTTCTGTGTCAGGCACTATTCTGAGGCTGAGCACACCTCAGACAACAAAATAGAAAATCCTGCCCTCATGTGGTTGACAGTCTAGTATGTGGAGGAGAGAGTAAACAAGTCAATGCATCTCTAACATTGCCAGGTATACACTATAAGAAATACTACAGGAGGGTTGGCCAGGCGTGGTGGCTCGTGTCCATAATCCCAGCACTTTGGGAGTCCAAGGTGGGTGGACCATCTGAGGTCAGGAGTTCAAGACCAGCCTGGCTAACATGGTAAAACCCCGTCTCTACCAAAAATACCAAAAAGTAGCCAGGCATGGTGGTGTGCACCAGAAATCCCAGTTCCTTGGGAGGCTGAGGCAGGAGAATCTCTTGAACCCAGGAGGTGGAGGTTGCAGTGAGCCGAGACTGTGCCACGGCACTTCAGCCTGGGAAACAGAGAGAGACTCTGTCTGCCCCACCCCTCCCGCCACCCCCAAAAAAGAAATAATACAGGAGGGTAGTGGGATAGGACTGGGTTGGGAGTTGATATTTTTGGCAGGGTGGTCAGAGACCTGAAGAAAGTGAAGGAGCCAGCCATGGGGGTATGGGAAGGAACAGACTGCCAGGCAGAGGGACCAGCAATGCCCTGAGGTGGGACCACACCTGGAATGTTCTATGCTAGCAAGGTTTTGGGGGAGTGGTGGCCAGCCAGGCCGGCAGCCTCTCCCAGTCCCGGAATGGAATGAGGCTGACCTTTGCACCATGCCCCTTCCTTCCCAGGAGATGGCGCTGTCTGGTGCGGAGCTCCCGGGCACGGTGGAATCAGTGGAGGAGGCGTTGAAGCAGCACCGGGATTTTCTCACCACCATGGAGCTGAGCCAGCAAAAGATGCAGGTGGCCGTGCAGGCTGCGGAGGGCCTGCTGAGGCAGGGCAACATCTACGGGGCGCAGGCCCAGGAGGCTGTGACCCGGCTGCTGGAGAAGTAGGTACCCCAGAACCGTCCACCCCAGGGAGGGGCCGAAGATGGGGCACAGCACGGGGCAGGGTGTGGGAGGGTCCGATTCTTTTCATCATGATTTGTTTCTCTGTGCCCTTTTCTGATTTCTATTTAATTCCATGTTGTCTTAGGTTTGATTTAAGTGGATTTTTTTTTTTTTTTTTTTGAGACGGAGTCTCACTCTGTCACCCAGGCTGGAGTGCAGTGACATGATCTTGACTCACTGCAACCTCCACCTCCCAGGTTCAAGAGATTCTCCTGCCTCAGCCTCCCCAGTAGGTAGGACTATAGGTGCATACCACCACACCTGGCTAATTGCTGTATTAACCATGTCGGCCAAGCTGGTCTTGAACTGCTGACCTCAGGTGATCCATCCACCTCAGCCTCCCACAGTGCTGGTTACAGGCATGAGCCACCGCGCCCAGCCTTAAGTGGATATATTGTGAAGAGGTGACCTGCGGCTGTCAGCCCGAAAGATACAGAAGGATATACGGTGAAAGGCTTCTGTTTCAAGCCTGCTCTCAGCGTGGGATGGTTGGGCCTCTTGTCAAAATCTTAGGCTTATACTTGTAATCCCAGCACTTCAGTAGGCTGAGGCGGGAGGATTGCTTAAGCCCACAAATTTCAGACCAGCCTGGGCAACACAGTGAGACCCCTTCTCTAAAAAAAAAAAAAAAAAAAATTAGCTGGGTGTGGTGATGAGTGTCCGTAGTCCCAGCTCCTCCTGAGGCCGAGGTGAAAGCATTGCTTGAGCCTGGGAGACTGAGGCAGCAGCGAACTGTGATCACACCGCTGCACTCCAGCCTGGATGACAGAGCAAGACCATGTCCCCCCTTAAAAAAAATGTTAACTTATTTCCCCGGATGCCCCATTATCCATCCTGCTGTCTGCACCCTCCTTGGGAACTCCCAGAGCTCCCCAGATCCAGCAGCTAGAGGCCAGGCACAGGTGTGCTCCCGCATGCCCGATGGGACAGTGTTCCCTGCCAGGCTGGTTGTCAAATATTTGCATAAGCACCTCTGCCTGGCCCCAGCCACTCTAGGAAGCATGCATGGTGAGTGTCCGCCTGTCTCTGTGTCTCTCTCACCTCTTGAACCTCATTGTTCTCTGCTTCTGTCACCATCTGCCTCTTGTCACCACCCTCTTGTCTTTCCTGCACCAATCAAGCAAAGACATTTATTGAGCATCTACTGTGTGCCAGGCACTATTGTAGGTGGGCCCTGAACAAAACAGCACCACCACCTCCAGCCATCATGGGAAGTCCTTTCTTGTCTTCCAGACCTGGTTCTGTCTGTCACTGGAGCATTTCTGCTCCTCCTGGTGACCCTAAATTTCTCCTCTCAGGCTCTCTGGCTCTCTCTGGCATGATCCAGGCTGGAAGAGGACCCAGTACCCCCCCGCCACCTTTGTCTTCCCATCTTCTGATGGAAAGCATCCCTAGACACTTCACTGTGCCACCCCCCAGCCCCAAGACCTCTACCCCTTTTCTGTTTGGGGCTCAAGTATCCTTTCCCTAGATTTATCTGGGGCAAGGCTGCAAGTTTCTAAAGAAAACTTTTATGGGAATTCGGTTCTTAAGGATACAAACTCATCATTTAGTGCTCCCCCCCTTCATCCAGACCTGGATCATTCCTTCCTTAGCCCCACTATATAGATACATATATATATATATATATATATATATATTTTTTTTTTTTTTTGAGACACGGGTCTTACTCTGTTGCCCAGGCTGGAGTGTAGTGGTGCAATCATAGCTCATTGCAACCTGGAACTCCTGGGCTCAACCAATCCTCCTGCCTCAGCCTCCTGAGTAGCTGGACTACAGGTGTGAGCCACTGAGCCCGGCCTGTTCCACATTTCTTGAGCACCTGCTGTACACCAGGCTCAGCAAAACGAGGAGGAGGAGCCCGGGGGACTGTTCATTCCATGATTGACTCATTCATTTCTTTTCCGTCATTCATTAATTGCTGCTTTCACTCTACTGTTCATTCACTCATTCTCTAGTCAATTAAACATGTACTGAGCTTGTGCTCTGTGCGGAGTCAGGTGTGGCCACAGAGACGACCAGGACAGAAGAGGATTCCTGCCTTACAGAGCTCAAACGTTATCTGACAAGGAGGGCCCAGAATGCTTGGGGCTGGGATGGAGGAACCCCAGGCAGAAAGGTCAGGGCCTCGATGGGAGACACGCAGGGGCGATGGGAGAGGCGGCATTTGCCCCAGGCTTGTGGTGGGCGAGGAGTGGACACAGAGGGACTGAGACGGACTAATCTCTGCATTTCCCCACCATTTATTTGCCTAGGGACACATTTCCCACCCTGTGGGAGGAGTGGGAGGGGTTTCCACATCCACAACGGGGCAGAGTCATACAGAGCTGGGGGCTGGGGCCCTGGAGGCCCTAGACCTGGCTTCCCCCCTCAACATGTGAGATTGAGGGCAAGTCATTTAGAGCTTCGGCTTGCCTGGCCCCTCACCTGGAACCTGTGTGTGAGAGGTGCTGTTCTTTTTTTTTTTTTGGAGACAGCGTATTACTCTGCCGCCTAGGCCGGATTGTAGTGGTGTGCCTCACTGCTACCTCTTCCTCCTGGGTTCAAGCGGTTCTCCTGCCTCAGCCTCCTGAGTAACTAGGACTATAGACATGTGCCACGATGTCCAGCTAATTTTTGTATTTTTGGTAGAGACGGGGTTTTGCCATGTTGGTCAGGCTGGTCTCAGACTCCTGACGTCAAGTGATCCACCCACCTCGGCCCCCCAAAGTGCTGGGATTACAGGCGTAAGCCACCGTGCCCGGCTGCGAGGTGCTGTTCTTATCTGCATTTTGCATTTAAGGCTCAGAAAGGAAAACTGACGTGCCCAGAGCCACAGCCAGGAAGTGGCACAGCCTGGATTTGAGCCCTGTTGTTTTTCTTTCCTTTTTTTTTAGGGGGCGGGTGTGGGGGGAGACAGGGTCTTGCTCTGTTGCCCAGGCTGTAGTGCAGTGGTGTGATCACTGCTCACTGCAGCCTTGACTTCCTGGGCTCAAACAAACCTCCTGCCTCAGCCTCCTGAGTAGCTGGGACTACAAGCGTGTGCCATCTTGCTGGGCTAATTTTTAATTCTTTTTTTGTGTGCAGAGATGGGGTCTCACTATATTGCCCAGGGTGGTCTCAAACTCCTGGGCTCAAGCAATCCTCCTGCTTTGGCCTCCCGACGTGCTCAGATCACAGGCATGAGCCGCCGCGCCCAGCTTACTCTGTTGTCTCTGTTGTTCTCTCACCCTCACGGAGACTCAGGGTCTTCCTCATCTCTAGGACCCAAGCTTGACAGTTTGGCTGCGTAAGGCCTGGAGGGATTGATTTCAGCTCAATTTCAGAAGCGTTTCAGTTTCCTGGCTCCTGAGCTAAGTTGAGCAGGAGGCAGTCAGTGCTTCGCTTGCTTGTCTCAGGCCCTTCCTGTTCCTTCTCCCTGGTTCTGTCTCTGGAACTGTCTCCTACACACTCTGTCTCTTTGCCTCCGTCTATCCATCTATTTCTGTATCTCTGTTTCCTGCTCGCTCTGTTTTTCTCTCCCTCCATCTGCACCTCTCTAACCTTGTCTGTCTTTTCTGCCTCTGTCTTTCACAGACACTGTACTTTTGTTTCCCCCATCTCTTTTTCTCTCTGCCACTGCATCTCTTGCATTCATTCATTTAACAATTGAGCATGTACTGTGTGCCAAGCCCTTTTCCTAGGCACTGGGGACACATCAATGAACAAAACAGACGGAAATCCCTGCCCTTGTGGAAATAATATATCCTAGCATGGGAGACGGATAAGATAAATAAGTAACATACAGCATGTGTTAGATTGTGTTAAGTGCTAAGGAGAAAATTGAAGAAAGCCTGGGCGCGGTGGCTCATGCCTGTAATCCCAGCACTTTGGGAGGCCGAGGTGGGTGGATCATGAGGTCAGGAGTTCAAGACCAGCCTGGGCAGCATGGTGAAACACTGTCTCTACTAAAAATACAAAAATTAGCTGGGCATGGTGATGTGTGCCTGTAGTCCCAGCTACTCGGGAGGCTGAGGCAGGAGAATCGCTTGAACCCGGGAGGTAGAGGTTGCAGTGAGCTGAGATCGCGCCACTGCACTCCAGCCTGGAGATAGAGCGAGACTCCATCTCAAAAAAAAAAAAAATAGCCAAAGTGTTGGGGAGTGGTCAGGGGACCTTGTGAAGAAGATGGTCGTTAAGTAGACATTGGGGGAAGGAGCATTCCCAGAAGAGGGGACAGCCAGTGCCAAGGGCCTGAGGCTTGCTCAAGGGAGAGGGAGAAGGCCAGTAAAGTTATCACAGAGTGAAGGGAAAGAGTGTGAGGAGGATAAGAGTTTGGAAAGGTGGGGGTGTGGGGTCTGGAAGGTCAGAAAGTCTTCTGAGATTGGCCGAGCACAGTGGCTCACTCCCATCCCAGCACTTTGGGAGGCCGAGGCAGGCGCATCACTTGAGGTCAGGAGTTAGAGACCAGCCTGGCCAACAGGCGAAACCCCATCTCTACTAAAAATACAAAAATCAGCTGGGCATGGTGGCAGGTGCCTGTAATCTCAGTTACTCAGGAGGCTGAGGCAGGAGAATTGCTTGAACCTGGGAGGTGAAGGTTGCAGTGAGCTGAGATCGGGCCACTGCACTCCAACCTGGGTGACAGAGGGAGACTCTGTCTCAAAAAAAAAGAAAAGAAAAAAAAGAGAAAGGACTCTAAGGACTCTGAGGGGGACCCTGGGAGGATAGTCTCACATTCTCTCACTCTCCCTGGGGATGACAGTGACAGGACAGGCATGCATGGGTGCCCATGTGGATCCCCAGCCCCATCCACCAGGCCTCTTGGGCACTTTGCCCTGCACTGTGGGCAGGAGGCCACACTGCCTGGGGCCATGGTCCCAACCGGCTCCAGGGTGTGAGGCCTGGGTCCAGCCTGATGGGTTCAGTCAGGCCAAGGGCCTGGCTCTCCCTACAGGAGTGCCTGCTTCAGCTTCTCTGCGCCCCCCTTCACCGCAGGTCCTCTGTGGGGCTCCTTGTCTGCTGCTTCCTGAGTATCCTTCCGGCTCTACCCTGCTCCACCTCTTTGCTCATGTCTTCTTCTTATCTCTCTTTCTGGTGTCTCCTCTCACTTTCTCGTTTTGTTTTTGGTCTCTGGTTATCTCTGTCTTTAGTTCTCTGTTAGCTTTCTCTCTGGGGTTGCCTCCTTTTCTCTCTATCAGCATCTTTTTCTTTCTAGGCGCCTGTCTCTCCTTCTCCCTCCATCTCTCTTCCTCGGTCTGTATCTCTCTGCCCTTCTCCAGCCCTGTCCCTGGCTTTGCCCCACTGTTTTTTTTTGTCTGTCCTAGACTGCCTCCCCCCTCATCCCCATCTTGGTCTCTCCTCCTGTCTTACATATTCTCCACGCCCTTCTTCCCCTACCCAGCCCCATGCCCTCACAAGCCAACTGCCAGCGCCGTCCCCCTGCCCCCGGGGCCTATCCCCAGCCCCTATCTCCCCATCCCCAGGAACCAAGAAAACCAGTTACGGGCCCAGCAATGGATGCAGAAGCTACATGACCAACTTGAGCTGCAGCACTTCCTCCGAGACTGCCATGAGGTAGGAACTCCGGCTGTTCTGGGGACGGAGACCTCCCCTTTAGTCGGGAGGGAAGTGCTCCTCGGCGGAGGTGGGGGTGGGGACGCCCCGTCTAAGTGGGTCGTGGAGCGATGCTCGCTCTGCGCCGCTAGGAGGCGCGTGGAGCCGGGTCTCAGTGCGCATGCTCCGCAACTCTCTGCCTGCCCACGCCGACTCCCGGGAAGGAGGGAGGGGCCCCGGGCACCCCTGGCAACCGCGCGTATCCGCGCCTACGGGTCCCGCGGGGACGCGCGCTGATCTCACCTTTCTCTCCCGAGATTTGTGAGAATCCCTCTACCCCCGGAGAGGGACGGAGCGGGCGGTGGGGATAGGGGTTGGGGATCATGGGTGGGCCAACGGCCCTGTGCGCTACTTCAGCCCGCGATGGCTCTGAACCAAGCCCTTGCCTCTTTAAAGGTGCCTGGGAATCAAGCCCCTTCCCTTAGGGATGAGCTGCACACATTAGGGAAGAGCTCCCCTCATCAGAGATGGTCCAGGCCCCCTTCCTTATTAGTGACAGTTTAGGAGACTCGCTGGCTTCCCCTCCTTCCCCTGCATTCCATAGAAACGATTCGACTCTGGACACATTAGAGATGGCCCAGTAAACATTTTCCTAAACCCTAAACAGAGACAGTTCTGGCCCCGAGCCTATCCATCTGTGTGACCCAGGATCATCCCCTCCTCCGTCATTACCCCATACAAAGTTTCTTTCAACCAAAGATGGTTCAAGAGCCAGGACTAACAGCTAAACCCCTCAGCCTCAATTAAAGATGATTCAACCCTCCACCCATGCTGAACGCCCTTGGGAGATTGTTCTCCCTGCATATGAAATAAACAAGGGCCTCCATACCCCGCTCCCCCCATAACTGGTATAGGCTGGGACATGAGCCATTGGAGGAACCCCCTGTTCCCCCTCGCCCCCACTGGAGATTGTAAGGGATGTTCCAGGTCGCCCTCCCATGTCCCCTGTCCACATGTGGTGGCCAGGAGCCCGAGCCTCTTCCCACTAGAGATGGTTCAGGAGGTCCTCCTCCAGCCCCCTCCCCATAATCTCCACTCTCCCATAGTGTGGCAGTCCAAGGCCCAGGCGCCTCCTCCCGGCATTAGATTTGGTCCCGGAGCACCCCTCATCCCTCGTAAGATTGTTCTGGACCAGGTAGCAATCATCTGAGATGGCGCAGAATCCCCCCGCCCGAAGCCTCGGGGCGAGTGGTGGTTCCTCCTGCACCCCCACCTGGGGCCCCGCAAAGAGGCGGGCAGGGAGGCAGGCAGGGGGCGCGCGCGGGCGGGCGCGCGGCCGCGGCGCGGGGGCGAGGGAGGGGGCGCGCGGCCGCCGGAGCCTCAGTCGTTGCTGCCGCTGCCGCTGCCGTCGCAGTGGAGGGGCAAACGCCCGCCCGCCCGCCGCAGGGACGCCCCGCCAACGCCACTGACGCTTGAGGTCTCGGGGGCGCCCAGGGGAGGGGGCTGGCGCGCACCCCGCGGAGAAGGCGGGGGAGGGGGCTCGGGCGCGTGCCCGCCCGCCGGGGCCGCGGGAGGGAGGGGCGGGGCGGCGCGGGGGCGGGCCGGGCAGGCGCCTGGACCCCCGCCCGGGGGGAGGGGCAAGGACGCCGGGAGCTGTCCGCGGTGCTGGCGCGGGCGGGATTGAGGAACCGGCCCCCAGGGGAGGGGAGCGAAGCGGTGGGGGGGGCGCTTCTAAGACCACTTCTAGGGTAATCTGGATTTGCCCTGAGGTGAGGGTTCAGGGCATCTCAACCTCTCGGGGTGGGGGCCTATTCTCCGGGTAATGGGGGAATCTAAGATTTGCCCTGGGGCCGGGGGTTTCTCAACCTTTTGGGGGGTTTCTTTCTTGTTTTGGGGGATCTGTATCAGCCTGGATGGTGGAGGTGAATCACTTTTGGGGGGCTCTGTCTTGAGTTATGAGGGATGTTGGATTTTCTCTGGGTCTGGGGGACTCTGACTTGCGGGGGCTTTTCCTGGGGTGTTAGTTTGGTTTTGCCCTCCATGATGAGGGAATCACTTTTGAGGGGGCTTTACTTTGAGGATAGGGCACTATCTCTTTAGGGGCTCTGCTTTCACTGCGGGCTGTGGCTGCCGTTGGACTCTTCCCTGCGCGTCAGGAACCTGTGAATTGAGTTGGGGGGTTCAGCACTGGACTTGGTTCTAGTGTGTGTATGGAGTGTGACGCTGTCCAGGACCCCTGGGGAGCACATGCTCAGAGAACGTGGGCTGGGGTTTGGCCGGCTGGGGATCTGGGGATTTGTCCTTGGCTATGACTGCATTTGCCTCCCGGGACCTCAGAGCTGGGAGTCTGGTGGTTTTTTTTTTTTTTTTTTTTTTCCTGTTTGCAGGCGGGAGGAGGGAGGATCTTGTGACTGGAGTGGGGAGGAGAAAGGGGAGGAGCAAACTGTTTGAGGTGCCAGGTTTGGTCATGAGTGGGGAAGTTCTGGCTTGGAGGATAAGTCTGGTTTTTTACTGGAGGAGGGTGGGGGAGGCTCAGAAAGCAGCCTGTGATTGATCCTGCCCAGGGCGGTCGGGGGGCCTACTCTTGGTGCTTGCGTGTTTGATGACTGGTTTTGTTGATGGGTGGGTGGACTAGAACTGGCTTTAGTTGTAGGGGTGGGGGTGCTGGCTGGCTTGGGAGGTTCGATCTGATCCACGATGGGGAGTCTGGGGCTAGATTTTGGGGTGGACTGGTTTGGAGAGCCAGCTTTGTTTTTCACATTTGGCTGGGGTTGGCTTTGGCTGAGGGCTAGAACTGGTCATGGTTTGGTGATCTGTGGTCTTAGAGTGCCAGGGCCAGGTTTGGGGAGCCCTGTGGACTCATTGGGGGTGCTGGATTGTGATTGTGGAGGTTGGGTCTACTCTGGAGTAGACCCAACTTGGAGGGCTGGTTTAGAGAGAGCTAGAGTTGGCTTTAATTGGGAGGTCGTTTGGGGGGTTGATCTGGCCATACTGGAGGAACTGGGGCTAGATAGGGGGCTTCATTTGATACCCTTGGGAATGGATTAAGGCTCTTGAATTGGTCCTTATTGGGGGGTGGCTAAGATTGAATGAAGGGTCTAAGTGTGGTTGTGGGAGGGGTGGTGCTGGAGATGAATTGGGAGTTAGCTAAATTAGGTTGGAGAGCTTGTTTTGGGGGGGTGATTTGTTCCCAAGTCGAAGGGGCTGACTGGCCCTGCCTTGGGGGCTTGTGAGGAGTTGAGAAGGACTTCCTTCAGGACAGGGGCAGGGGGGCAAAGGATTGGGCATTCTAGGTACCCTTCCATCCTTCCTCTACCCAAGAAAGAGCTTGAGCTGCACCTGTCCCCAATATAAGGGCCTCACTTGCAAAGGTTTTCCCATCTTCCCCTCTTCCCTCCACCCATACACCCTAGCAGCCCAGGTCCTGAACCTGGGACTTCCTGGAGGGGATGGGGGGCTGTGGCAGGTTGGAGAGATGGGCTGAGCCCTCCTTCCCTGTCCTGCACAGCTGGATGGCTGGATCCATGAGAAGATGCTGATGGCGCGGGATGGCACGAGGGAGGACAGCCACAAGCTGCATAAGAGATGGCTCCGGCACCAGGCATTCATGGCCGAGCTGGCTCAGAATAAGGAGTGGCTGGAGAAGATCGAGAGGGTGAGGAAGCTAATGGCCTTTCTGCCCGTGCCAAGTCCAAGAGACCTTTAGGGAGCCCATGTCTCACCTGCTGTACCCTCTGCTGCCATCCTGCTGGTCTCACACCTCTGGACTGACTCAAATCAGCTCCAGATCTACTCGTAGCTATGTGGGTTTGAGTGATTCACATAACCTCTTTGAGCCTCAGTTTGCCCATCTGTAAAATGGCCGGCATCTCTTCTGAATGGTGCCTGTATCCTCCTGTTTATTAAATATTTCACTCCTTCCTGTAACCTCCTGTATCAGGTTCCTTCCATATCATTTGAAGCATTAAGATGGAAGATTGGGGAGATGGGCTGGGACAGCTCCTGGAAAGCCCAGGGTTATAGTAAACTTTGGATTCTTACAGCCTTACAGTCCTGGGTTCTAAGTGTGTCTGTGCCTGTTACCAGCTGTGGGGCCTTAGGTAATTGTGTTAACCTCTTGGAGCCTCAGTTTGCTCTTTTATAAAATTGAGGAAATAATAAATATACTGGGCTCTTGTGCACAAAAAGTGCTTCATACAAGGCCACACACCTAAGAGCTATAATTACTATGGTCTTGTTTTTCAATACTTAATGTTACCTAAGTGGCTCTGGGCCACTTGACTTCAGCTTTGGAGGGACTGAGACAGATATTTGCTCCAAGCCTCAACCCCAGAACTTCCCCCTACTCTGGCTGAACCCCTAGACCTACAGCCCTGGATATGCCCACTCTTCTGACTCACACAGAGACACCCAGGTTGGCCTTAAACCCTTAAGTCGTCATTAATGTTCCGTAAACGGTGGCATATGGTGAAGGCAGTCTTCTTGATTTGAGTTTAATGGACGTTCATTCTCTCCCTGCCTCTGGCTCCCTGCTTCTTTCCTCTCTGTCTCTCCCTCTCTCCTTGTCTTTCTTATGGTCTTCCCCCCATATTTCTGATTTTCTGCGCCTGTCTCTGTGTTGATCACTCTGTGGCTATTTGTCTCTCTCTGTCTCCTTCCCATGTCTCTGTGTCCCTCTGTCTCTCTCTCCTCTCTGTCTCCCTCTCCTCTCCTCTATCTGTCTGTCTTTCTCTCTCTCTTCTTGTCTCTTCCCCGGTTCTTCCCATTTCTGGGCCTGTCTCTGCATCCACCCCTCATGTCTCTCTCTCCCTATGTCTACAACTCTCTGCCTCCGATTCTCTTTTCACATCTTTCCCTGTGTCCTGTTGCTCTCCCATACTTCTCTGTCCCTCCCCACCATTGATCCTTCTTCCCCATCTCCTGCCATCCACCTGCCTGGGGCAGGAGGGCCAGCAGCTGATGCAGGAGAAGCCCGAACTGGCGGCCTCTGTGCGGAAGAAACTGGGCGAGATCCGCCAGTGCTGGGCAGAGCTGGAGAGCACCACCCAGGCCAAGGCTCGGCAGCTCTTTGAGGCCAGCAAAGCAGACCAGCTGGTGCAGAGCTTCGCTGAGCTGGACAAGAAGCTCCTCCACATGGAGAGCCAGCTGCAAGATGTGGACCCTGGAGGGGACCTGGCCACCGTCAACAGTCAGCTCAAGAAGCTACAGGTATGGCCAGCCTGGCCCAGATGGGGGCTCCCTATGCCACATGGGGGCCAGGTCAGGGTCCAACCCCACTCAAGGTATTTCAAATGGAGGGGATTTAATACAGGGATTTATTTCAAACTTGTGGAAGAGCAGAAAGGGATTACTGAAGCAATCCAGCTAGTAATAACTGTTGGAAGCAGCCACCACCCCTAAGGTATGGACTACAAAGGAAAAAGGAGGGATCTAGAGCCACAAAGCAGTAGGTCAGTGACCAGCAAGCTAAAGGTTTCACAGGACCTTGACACCCATTTCCTGGATGGAGAAACCAAGGTTCAGGGGTAGGGAAACGGCTTTGCATGGAATAACAGTGACATTCGTTCAGCGTTCCTCTACTGGTCTCTAGGCCAAGCATTCACTGACTCCTTCCAGCAACTTCTGGAGATTGGTACTGTTATTATTCCGTTTTACCAATGGGGGAAACTGAGGCACAGAAAGCAAGGCACCTGGCCCAAGGAAACAGAGCTAATCAGTGTCTCCTTTATGAAGCAGGGCACTCTTAGAGAACAGACACAGCATCTGCTTTGTATCTGCTCCAAGCTTGGCAGCTCGATGCTTGGTACACAGCAGTTCATGTGGAATGACCAGAGGTGAATGTGGCCATTGCTTCTCACCTGCCAAGGAATAATGGCCCCTGCCTTTGGTTTTCTTTTATTGGTTGCTGGTGGTGTTTGTTTTTTCCTTTGCGATAGGGACTCATTCTGTTGCCCAAGCCAGAGTACAGTGGCTTGATCTCAGTCCATTGCAGCCTCAAACTCTTGGGCTCAAGTGATTCTCCTACTTCAACTTTCCAAGTAGCTGGGACCACAAGCGCACACCCCCATACCTGGATAATCTTTTAAAACTTTTTATGGGACAGGGTCTCACTATATTGCTCGGGCTGGTCTCAAACTCGTGGGCTCAAGCAACCCTCTCGCCTCAGCCTTCCAAAGTGCTGGGATTAGAGGCGTGAGCCATGATATCTGGCCCACGTGACTGCTGCTTTTACATGTCAGGACAATGCCTGACTGACTGACGGGAAACTGAGGTTCCAAGAGGTGAGAGGTGAACTTGTCCAGAGTAGCAAATAGCAAACCCTGGATTTCAATGTTGCGCCCTCGACTCTTCACTCCTTTTTGATATACTTCCTATGTAGATGCACTTGTATAGGGCTTGGCAGGATGTGTGGCCAAAAAAAAAAAAAAAAATGGCTAGTAAGAAATGCACAACAGGCCGGACGCAGTGGCTCATGCCTGTAATTCCAGCACTTTGGGAGGCTGAGCCAGGTGGATCACAAGGTCAGGAGTTCAATACCTGTCTGGCCAACATAGTGAAACCCCCTCTCTATACGTTAAAAAAAAAATTAAAAAATAAAAAATAAATGCATAATGACACTGATTAGTATCTATTCATTCATCTCTGCATCAGATAATTATTGGGTACCCACTATGTGCCAAGCATTTTCTGGGTGTTGGGATATAGCAGTTGGCAAAATGGATGAAAAGTCACTGCCTTCAAGTCGATCCCACTCTGGTGGGGGAAACAGGCAAAAGAACAAAAAGACAAACAGATCCAAACGTAATGGAGGCCAATGAGGTCAGCACTTTATTTATTTATTTATTTATTATTATTTTTTGAGACTGAGTTTCACTCTTGTTGCCCAGGCTGGAGTGCAATGGTGCCATCTCAGCTGACTGCAACCTCCACCTCCTGGGTTCAAACAATTCTCCTGCCTCAGCCTCTTGAATAGCTGGGATTCCAGGCACACACCACCATGCCCAGCTAATTTTTGTATTTTTAGTAGAGACGGGCTTTTGCCATGTTGACCAGGCTGGTCTTGAACTCCTGACCTCAGGTGATCCACCCACCTCGGCCTCCCAAAGTGCTAGGGTTACAGGTGTGAGCCACCACACCCAGCCAATGAGGGTCATTACTTTATATAGACCAGGAGCTCTCAAACCTCTGGGTCTCCAGGACCCCCTTATACTAATTTTTTTTTTTTTTGAGATGGAGTCTTGCTCTGTTGCCCAGGCTGGAGTGCAGTAGTGTGATCTTGGCTCACTGCAATCTCTGCCTCCAGGGTTCAAGCGATTCTCCTGCCTCAGCCTCCCTGGTAGCTAGGATTATAGACACCTGCAACCACACCCAGCTAAATTTTTTTGTATTTTTAGTAGAGACAGGGTTTCATTATGTTGGTCAGGATAGTCTCGATCTCTTGACCTCATGATCCACCCACCTTGGCCTCCCAAAGTGCTGGGATTACAGACATGAGCCACCATGCCTGGCCCTCCACTTACACTCTTAAAAGTCATTGAGATCCTCAAAAAGCTTTGTCTGTATGGATTAGACCTATTGACATTCACTGTATTAAAACACATTTTAAAAAAGCAACGTGGATGATTGGGCACAGTGGCTTATGCCTGTATTCCCAGCACTTTGGGAGGCCAAGGCGGGAGGATCACTGAAGCCCAGGAGTTCCAGACCAGCCTGGGCAACATAGCGAGATCCACACGCTTGTGGTCCCAACTACTCAGAAGGCTGAAGTGGGAGGATCACTTGAGCCCAGGAGGTTGGTTGAAGCTGCAGTGAGCCATGATTGTGTCACTGCACCCCAATCTGGTCTACAGAATGAGACCCCTGTCTCAAAAAAAAAAAGTAATTTGGAAGTGGTAAATAAAATATTCATATAGTGTTAAAAGAACCATCTTTGGCTCACTTGCTTTTGCCAAATCACCTGCCCAGGTCCTTGTGCGGCTGGGTGCTCTCTCCCCAGCAGTACACACGAGCTCCTGCTCCCTCCTGTCCTTGCCAACACTTGGTATTGTCAGATGTTTTAGGCCTTTCCCAGTCCAATGGCTGGGAAGTGGTACCTAACTGCAGTGTGTGCATTTGCATTTCTTCCCCAATGCAACTGGCGAGCTTGACCATCCTAACCCTCTTTTGTACTATTTAGGTTTCAGAGGAAGGAATTAGGGCCTCCTGCCTCAGCCGTAGTACAGAGTTAGCTCTTCCCTCCCATAGAGGGCTCAGTCCCAACCAAGCCCAGCAAACCATGAGATGGGGGTCCGCATTGTTCAAGAGAGGGGCTGAAGCTCAGAGGAGACAAGGGAGTGGCCCTGGGGTCTTACAGTGATGGGTGCCAGGGGCAGGCCCCAGCACGACACTCCTGGGTCCTTTTCCCAGCAGAGGGAGCCCAAGGCAGGGAGTGACTGTGTAGGCCACAGCTGCCCCACAGGACCTGCCACTGGGGAAGGGACCTCCCAAGGCCCTGCTGTCCCCTGGGACATACACAGGAGTGGGGTAGGCTGCCACCCAGCCTAGCATGTTGTCTGGCTGTCCTATCCACCCTCAGGGCACTGAGGCCGGGGGGTAGGTGCTGGCTTGGGGTCTGGGGGTGGAGTGGTGTGTCCTGTGTGAGTGATCTGTCCCCCTGGGCCTCTCTGCGGGGCTGTGTCTGTCCTTCCTCCCCAGCCTTTCTGTGTTCCTTAGTTTCTGTCTCTCTCATCACTGCCTCTCTGCCTCTTTCTGTCCTCCCTTCGCTGTCTCTTTCTCTTCTCTTGTGTTTCTCTCTGTCCTACTCTCTCACTCCCTTCTCTCTGTCTCTTTTTTTGGGGGGGAGGTAGGGGGCAGAGTCTTACTCTGTCATCCAGGCTGGAGTGCAATGGCACAATCTTGGCTCACTGCAACCTCAGCCTACCGGGTTCAAGCGATTCTCCTGCCTCAGCCTCCTGAGTAGCTGGGATTACAGGCACAGGCCACCACTCCCAGCTAAATTTTGTATTTTTGGTACAGATGCGGTTTCACCATGTTGGTCAGGCTGGTCTTGAACACCTGACCTCAGGTGATCCGCCTGCCTCAGCATCCCAAAATGCTGGGATTACAGGCGTGAGCCACTGTCCCAGGTCTCTCTGTTTCATATTTGACTCCATTTCTGCCTCCTTCCCTTGGGCTCTCCTTGTTCCTCACGTCCTCCTTGTGTCATCTCCCTTGTCCTCCACCCCACATGCTCCAGCAGGCTCCCTAGGACCCCACCTTCCAGGTCTTGGCCACGTGACCCAGAACCCTCTCTCAGGGCCTCTTGCCAAGCTGTGCTTCCTGGCCGAGAAGCCAGATGGTAGAGTCTCAAGTCACGGCTCCCCAGCCCTCAGAGACCTGGCCAGCTGGTCAGCCTCCACCACAGGCTTCTGCTTGGAGGGGTGGAGGCTGGTCTCCTGCCATCTGAGAAAAAGCACTGGAGGCTTTGCAGCTGCCAGGCTCTGTCCCTGGGGACCCCTCACTTTTTCCAGGCCCACTCCCACCCTAAGCAAAGCTCTTTCTCTGGCCAAGGAAACACCACCTCCCCCCGTTCTGCTTCTCTGCTCCATATTTTTGTATCAAGCTCAGCATGGCCTGGGAAAGGAGTGCAGATTCAAGGCTGTACAGCCCCAGTCCTTGCTCTGCGTGACTCAAGGCAACAAGGCATGGGACCCTTCCTTTCTTCCTTCCTTCCTTCCTTCCTTTCTTTCTCCCCCTCCCTTCCTTTCCCTCCCCTTTACTTCCCTTCCCTTCCCTTTCTTTCCTCCCCTTCCTTCCGCTCCCCTTCCCTCCCCCTCCTTCCCTTCCCTTCCTCCTTTTTCTTTTTTTGTTCCATTTCTGTGCTTTTTTTTTTTTTTTGTGACGGAGTTTCACCCTTGTTACCCAGGCTGGAGTGCAATGGCGCGATCTCGGCTCACCGCAACCTCCGCCTCCCGGGTTCAGGCAATTCTCCTGCCTCAGCCTCCTGAGTCGCTGGGATTACAGGCACGCGCCACCATGCCCAGCTGATTTTTTGTATTTTTAGTAGAGACGGGGTTTCACCATGTTGACCAGGATGGTCTCGATCTCTTGACCTCGTGATCCACCCGCCTCGGCCTCCCCAAAGTGCTGGGATTACAGGCGTGAGCCACTGCGCCCGGCCCCTCCTTTTTCTTTCTTTCTTTCTTGAGTCTCACTCTGTCACCCAGGCT